GTATAAGCCATTACTATGATTTAGTAAACGGGACACCGACCAGGCGAACACTTTTTCATTTGACAACAGTTAAATCTCATTGATATGTTTATAGCAGGAAAGAGTTGTATTTAGATTTGCATTTTATAGCGGAGTGATTCATAAAGCAAGGCTAGGAAAAACACAAAATCAGTAAAATACTAATTAATCGTGATAGTAAAACAGTGGGTACTCCAGTAGTGTGTGTACTAGGTTAGGGTTAGGCCATAATTTTATTCCGATTTTCCTTATTTTAGTTCTATTACATGTTCGATGGATGTCTGTGTTAGCCAAGTGAATATACCCCCTGACCATAGGCTTCCGTCCCTTTACACAAGTTGATGTAAAGTAGGCGAACAAAATTAGTTACCTCCATATTGGTACACACACTTCTGGGGCGCCAAACAGTTTGTTTTGATTAAGATTGAATTTTATATAGTGTACTCATAAGATGAGACTACAATGCCCAGTGCCAGAAAATAGCGATTCGAAATACTATTTATCTTGACGGACTGAGTGTTCACATTTCAAGTGTTAAGATGTATTTGCCAAATAAACACAATGACAAATGTGCACTTCAATTTCTGCCGATTCATTGTACTGGTATTTGTATTCTCTTTTCATATAATTATAAATTAGCTTGTTGACGCCAAAATTGACAATCATTCATAAAATAGGTGATTTCCATGCCTGGTTTCAATGCCTGTATGCCGCCTTTTATCGTGGACAATAAAATAGATTAGTAATCGGAAGCCGATGTGAATTTGTACAATTATTCTTGTACAAATTCGTGCTTTATGTACTGTTAAAAATCACGGAAATTGAAGTTGAATTTCAACGTTGAACTATACAGTTTACTTATATATAGCATGTTAAAGCTAATTCCACACGAATCATCATTGATGGATTTTAATAACATTTAAATTCAAGACATATCTCTGTTATTTTTTACTGTAAAATTATTAAATTAATCTCGTAATTAAGAGTGTCAATGATTACGCTTGGCCGTAGATAGAAACCAGATTACCGATATTTCAAATCGCGGGAAATTTCTATGACTGAGCATGAGTTCGAAATGACTATTAACAGGTTGGGTGCTTTTGAAATATAGATTCGTCATAACGCCATGACTCGTCGTATTTAAGGGATTTCTATATCACAATTTATAGATTGGGGATGATATAGATCTTTAGATAGCGGTCTAATCTAATATTATAATAATGAAATAGGTCGCAAGAGGTCATATTTGAGGTTAGGGATAGATAGTGTTTCAAAGTGCCTTTTATTTGGACTATTGTTGAGTTTTGCTATTGAGTTTGCCGGAAATCGAGATTGTGATTTTTTTGTGTAAATTTTGATATCGCTTAAATAATATTCTGTTAGATCATATAAAAATTTGGATTATTTGATTATGATTAGTCATGTACTCTTTATTATGACAATCCGGGTAGCACATTTTCTAAGATATTTTTCATCACTAGTTTTGTTTGGAATATAAGAAGCCAGAAATGATAAAGAAAAATATGAAGTAAAGCTTTTTTTGGGGTCGGAGTTCAGTAATTTAGTGAAGTACTCTCGATTTCTATATCAATTAGTTGTATTACAAAATTACTTTATTTCTTATGATTTTTTTCATTATCTCACATCTATCTCATTTTAGAATTTACTGATATTTCAATTAAGATTTGTTTGCTGTTTTATTTTCGTATGTTATATTTTCTTATTCCAATATTTCGAGCCGCGAAATAGTTTGAAAAAATTTATATATCTTATATCCCGATAAAATGTTGGTTTATTTTTTATTTATTTTTTATTTTCACTTCGAGCGAGGCTTTGTATACTTTATATTATTTTTATACTATTTTTTGTATACTTTCGACTAGTTCTTGGGATATATTTTTTATAAAACAAATATCATAAGATGAAAATTAATTCGCAGTTGGGAGAAATTTTTATTCGAGTAGCACATTTATTATTTTTAATTTCATCACCTTTATTACATTTATGATAAATGGCATTACAAAGATGTGATTTTGTTATGACATCATTTATCATGCGTGGGCTTTAATTATGTCTCGTCGTGTCTGTATTCAATATATAGCCTTATAATTTCAATTTTGTCAGCTCTCAAGGTATCTTAACTAGGTTTGTTTTATTTTAATAAGTTTTTGTTAAGTTTTTTTTACTTCTTTTAATTCACCCATAGGGGATAATGAACTTTGATAGGTATCGATGAATTCCTATCGCAATTAAAAAAAAATCTTATACTTTATAAACACCGTGTATCTCATGCCAGGTTGTTAATCGAAATTCGTCAATTTTGTGAATCATGGTTAGTAATGCAAGTAGATATTATATATATATATGTAGAAACCAGAAACTGTATTCCGAATTCCTCTTCTTTATGCGTTTCCATGTGAAAGTATGTGTCATTCATTATATTGAAAGAATTTATTTTATTAAATTCTTGTAACTTGGTTTATATATAATTTATTGCAATATGATCGTGTTGTACATTACTTAGATTTCATTTCATATCCGAAGAACTAGATATATATTTATTCATCCGGGCTTTCCCTCAACGCGAAACATCTTTCAATTTAGTACTTTTTCGGTTGCCAGTGCCTTGTGAAATAATTGAAAACGATATTCCACATTCCTATCGATTTATGACTGTTTCTAATCTTGTGTAATGCCCGATATATGTCAAAATAAGCGAAGCTCGAGAAAAGGATTTTTAGAACGTGGAATTAATGTTTTATCAGGCAATTTAGATTTAGACATTGTGACGTAATCAATAAGATTTATATTACAAAATAATCTATCACTGCACAGAAATATTGAGGAAATCACAATTAGTGGTATTGAGATGTCATTTTTTAAATATTATGACTGAAAATTTCATATACGTAGACGGAAGATTTAAGGTATACGTAAAGGTGCATGGAGCAAACATGCATGGATATAGCAGCCCAATATTTTGCGATATTTCCTCATACCATTCGCCACATCTGTATATTTTAAATATTTTCCGCGGGATTGAACCAGCCAATCATAATATATTGATATTTGGTGGCGAAACATAAGTGGGAAAACGTGCGATCCTTTTGACATCTTTATTAACTTGCGTTTGGCAAATTCCTAGATATATGCAGTAGTATACGACCATACGTGATACCAAACTTGCACTACTATTTACTTTACAACATATATATTGCCTTTTCGACTATAGCAATCGTCTCACATTGTTTGCTTTCGTTATTGTAACTCTGCCAACCATCCGTACAAATCAAACAGGTGTGCTCAAATTGTACTTTCGTTGGGAATTTCCCTTCACGGTGATTTATATTGACTATTGTGAATTGTAAACCGTTTCTGGGTGTGTTACATAAATCTTATTCGCCTACAGCTGAGTATTAGGCATATCTGACTTATGTAGGCTAGGTGATATATTCTTATCACGTCTGTAACCAGTTGCCAGTTTTGCTTGCAACTTGCAAGACGTCGTTTATCCCCTATTAGGATGGGCTCAGGTTGTTGCGTACGTACGTACTTGTGCGTGGCATTGCGTTTTGGAGGTTGCGTTAACCCGTAGAAACTTTTCTTATACACAGGATTAGATTAAAATACCTCATGTTATATGATAAATTAGTAGATTCTGACGTACAATTGGTGTTACATTCAGTGGCCAGGTTATTTATTGCATGCATATACTAGCTGGACTCTCAGGTTGCCGATTGTCATGTTCACGTTTTATGGAAGCGCATTCTTGAGACAGTTTAAAAATAGACAGATCATCTTTTGTAATTCAAATTGGTGTTTCGTACCTTATGTTGCAAATATAGAAATTAGATTCGTTCAGGTGGCAAGACACCATATAAGTAATGTTTAAAACACAATCTTCGTCTGTATTATGTAGCTTAATCTCAGCGAGGCAGCAAGAAAAGTTCTGTTTGGGAGATCTATTTCTCACTGCTACACGTTTACATCCAGGCATGGTCTTATGATGGGACGTGCCGCCGAGGCATGTCCCATCATTGGCCCATGCTTGCTAAAGATCCTATTTAACTGAATTAATAAATGTTCAACTGAACATAATATTTTATGATTGATTCCAGTTTAAAATACTCGACAGTAGTATATAAGGATAGGTCAGTAGTATACAACGTACCTGATTGCAACGATACAATATGTCTACAAAGACTGATAAAAATTCTTCCATAACTTCTATGGATACCGTTCAAAACGAAGGCATAGTGGAAAGCAATGGCGATTCCATAGACTGTGAAAACGGAAAATTGAAATTGCTGAGACCTGATGTTTGCAAAGTAGAAGAGAATTTACATGAAAAAACAGTTTCCATTGTCGAAGAAATTGAAAAAGCTGTACAAAGCAATCAAACTAGTCTACACAGTTCTATAAGCCGAATTTCGAGTTCTTGCACAGATAATTTGAATGAAAACACTGCAGCATCAATTTTAAAGCATGAAGATCTGTCTTCTGAGCGACAAGTTTCATTAAAATTGCCAAAGAATTTGCATAACGTAGAGCGCCTCGCGGTAGGTTTCAATATTGAGTGTTATCGTTTTCATATGTGATATCGTATATAATTTTTTCTATTGCCTAATATTTGCTAGTTGGTTTTTGTATCTATTATGAATATTCTTTGTTAATGGTATTGTTAGTTGCACTAGTCGATGAATGATAATTTTCAGATTCACAGGTTGTCTCCGAACAATTCTGTAAAAAAGTTAACAAACAACCTTTGATATGGCTGTGATATGCAGCAATTGCTTATTTGGTTGATAGATAAATTCAACTTTTTTTTTGTAAATTTCTGGTTTGAGCATTCGACATAATAACATCGTAAAATTTTCAACGACAACTCCCTTAGTATCTGCTGATCTCGAGCATTTTGCGGAGCATATGTGAAATGATCTTTCAAAAATCGGGTGTTAATCTACCTTTCTTTTTTCAAAAAGGCTTTCTGTGATGCATTGCTGCGAGAAAACGACAAATTAAAGCAAGAATTGGAATTATCGCGAAAGAAAACTGCATCAAAAGACGCCGAAATTAAACGATTAACTCGACGACAACAAGAACCGTCAACTTCTTCAAGCGTTCAGAAAAAATCAACTGGAGTCACAGAAGACACCCCTGTCAAGGTATGTTTGGTTTGTACAGTATTAGGTAAGTTGTATAGTGAATTTTTCTTTAAGAATCAGCTTCTATCAATTTCGCTGCAAGCAATGTCATTATAGTGTATTTTAACCCGTACAATTTTACGTATATATAAAGATTTTCATTTTTAAAATTAGCTTGTTATTCTAATTCCTGTATGCTAGATGGTGCGAATTAATCTAATGAATTACGAAAATTTTTTATTTTGAAAAGCATATATACCAGTACTTAAAATAGCGTAAATTCGATATTTTCTCGATTACTGCAATTGATTCTGTAAGTAAAGACCCAATGTTGAAATAATATGTTATCTGAATCGTCTTAGGTATTGCAATAGAGGTATACTTGTTAATTCTCCATTTGCTAATTACTCATGCGCTGATCGTACGCACACAATACCACACGCAAGACTATGTTTATTTTTTCCTACGGCCGTTTTCCGTTCACCCGCAACGCTCATTTACTCGTCCACTACCTTACAGGCTAACCTCTGCATTTTTTTGTTTTCATTTGACCCCTTCAACGTCTACGTAAAGGTGATTCCCCAGATATTTATTTACGAGTTTCATTTACGCTTCATTAATTTCGTAACCGCCGTGTTGTCTTTTTAAATTACGTAATCGTTTTCGATCGCGTTTCTTCAAAATAATATCGAAACTGGAGTAATACTGGTAAATCAACACGGGTAACTTGAAACCAGAAATCCACCTGTAAACGTGCTATGATGTAAATATAATGCTTTCACAAAGGTACCGACAATGTGTTAACATCGTTAGTTCTGCGGAAGACTTGGGAACCACTACGGGGAAGTCCTAATGATTTATTGTACATGCTTTTGTGTTCATGGCTGAAATTGTTTTCAAACTTTCCGCGAATATATCCCCTTGTTCTTCCACCAATCAAGTAATCATAGCTTTTTATATTGCTTGGCATCATTTTACCCGCTATTAAAAATATGCAGAACTTATTGCGTTTCTGAGTAATTTGTCTAAAATATGTTCCAAAGTGCCTTGGGTATGAGTTGATGGCTTTGAGGAGTACACAAAATACCCTCTTCTATCATTGGCCCACACATGATAACAGTATGTGAACGGATAGAGACTATGATAAGGTAGATTAAACATCACTACTTGCTAATTTTAGCCAGATTCAACGGCAATAAAATTCAAATACATTTTTCAAGTTTTGAATAGTTAGAAATGGCTTTCAACCGTGTGTGGTAATTCAGTTGCTTAGGGAAGCAAATGTAAGAGTTCCCCTTTGTTTTGGAATATTGTTGATTTGTTTACGGACGCGCTCATCTGAAAAAAAAAACGATTTTGAATACGTCTTGCTTTCAAATTATCCCTTTGTGTTTAATTTGTATAGCAAGTGATTTATGTAATGCCACACGAAATGCTCTTGGGAAGTGCGTCTACTTACTTGAACTTGATATTTTAAAACAATGGCCCGAAAAGGCTTTGCTCCGAACAATGCCATGCACAAGCAGGCAATCACTGTGTTAGGAGCTGAATCCTATTTTCGACTTGGAGTGAGTTCGCCATCGTTCTAAATCAAGGGTGTGCGACATTTTTACTGGTTGGCCATCAAACCAATTTCAAACATTTAGCCGTCCAGACAAAAAAATTAGAGGAAAAGGCAAGTGAAGAGGGTGCAACAAGAGCAAAAAAACATTATTATTTTTATCCATGCGAGCGCCTTTCCAAACATAAACTGTTGGATTAGGATTTTTAAGCTTGATAGTTGATAGGGAGAAATCCGAGTGTTGACAGGGGCCACTCTAAATGGCTTGGCGGGCCGGGTTGTGGCCCGCGGGCCGCTTGTTGCACACCCCTGTTCAATATGATCTGCCCGAAATGCGTTAAGTATAAGACACGACTTTGTCCCAGCATGAACCCCGGCATAGCTTTACTATTACTCAGAACCTAATCTCAAATAGGTTGGCTGAGCACCCATTCCTATTAGTCACACAACCATTTTACTTGAGAATACGTCAAAACGATGACGAATACCCACAATTTGGCGTTCTACCAGCTCTTGTTTTGCAGTTTGCGGCAACAAAATATGTTATTGTGGAGTGTTTGCGGTCAATGAACTCTCATAGGTTCACACTCCAGAGGGCCGAAGACCTCGTTATCTTTTGACCTGCGAGAGGTCGTTTGCTTTACTTATAAATAAAATACGCCTGGAATTCTAATCGCTCTTCGAAAGCGGGGAATTCTTTCTATCCGGCGATATTGCAAAACATATTTTTCTTTTCCACTAGAAAATTTGATCTATCCTAAGCATGACGCCATATTATATTTTGCACGAAGACACTAATTTATGGATGGGCTTTGTCCGGTCCGGATTACTTTTCGTAGTGTTCATAAAACGTTTTCTGACTAATGGATATCCATGTCCTTATTTTCTTTATTTTTCTGTTTTGCGATCGCCGCTGGGGATGACATCATATGGATTTTAGACTTCTGCATTAGTCGTGTATATGGGTGTGTCATTTTTGACTTGTGGGCGTGTCAGTCTGAAATATAATCCTCGTCTTCTTTAGTGGGGAAATGAGGAAGTACGTCGCACACGAATGCAGAAGTAATTTAGTTATATTTGTTACAGCTTGTAATCATACTCGTTGCTTGTTTTGTAGTTAGATTTGAATTCGGGAACTCACATAATTTTACTTGGGGAATAACCCAATAATTCCAGCAGCGAGTGGTTGTCTTAAGAGCACTACTTCATAATAGATTTATTTGCCAAAAGCTAACAGGTTTAGACTCGCATTATTATTAAAAAGGATTTTTCAAATTTTTATTGCATCTGTCTGGCCTCATCTGACAAAAGACTTATCCAAACAAAATGGAATGAAATTTTGATAGTACAGCCTATAGCCTTCTTGCGCTTCATTATGATCATTAAGCTACATGGCTCGGATTCTAAGGATAAGGATATTTATAATTTTCATATTTTTCTGTATTGAAATATTTGCCCTTGACAAATCGAACGCCGATCGTTGCGGAAAGTATTATTTAAACTAAGTTCTTTGGTTATGTGATATTGTTTTGGACAAATATTTTCCTGTTACATCTTTGTACAATCGTTACAATGTCATTCTTTGTCAGTAACCTTGTAACATGGAGGTACTTTTCCAATTGTGAACGAAAACGAGTATTTTGCGGTCTCGCGGAAACCACCGATCACCAATGGAGTTATTGTACAATAGGATAATGAATTGTAACGACATTTGTACCAGCTTACATAGTTGCAAATGTAAAATCCGCACCATTTTGAATAGATGTTGTAAAAACTGTTGTCGTACACACCCCTTGCTAAATTTGCAGCTTTGTTTGATTTTAGCTAACTGACAACAACGTCTCCCGAAAACACAGACTAGGTTATTTGTGAGTAACATATTCCACAGATCACATAACTTCTGTGCAAAAACAGAAGTGTTAAACTGTTAACTAAAGTTTCTTCATTTAGGGTTCCGTTTCTAGTGTGCAGTAAATCCATTATCTCTATCTAGTAGTTTCAGAATTAATGTCCTGACATTTTTGTACAGAAATTGGAACTTGAAAGAAAATATGTAGCATTGATAAAAGGTTTTTATAACCAATACCATTTTTTCAAAATGGTGTTCAACCAATATGAATTATATGATTTGTATGAAAGATGAACGAGTTCATTTTCTATTTTAGGAATGTGTGGAGAATTCAACTAACGATAATCAAACCAGCGTATCCGATCCTGTTTCTACAACTGTCGTTGGGAAATTACAAAACAGGATCAGGAAACTGGAATCACAACGAAATGAGGTTTGTGTCGATATCTTACTTGCCCTGTGGTTTATTAATTATACGTCGACCTATATCCAAGGAAGACATTCCCCAATTTATATATAAGTGTAACAATCGTTTTGCAATTGATTTAGGAGTATCCGGTCCTTAGATGAATTGAAAAGTTGGATTTATCGCTCAGTTACGACATCACATTCACGTTCAACAAAAATGATCAAAATTGTATTGAAACTAATTTTAGAAACACCCATACTCAAGAACCTAGGAACCTAGCGCTTTTGAAAATAAAATTAAAGCAGCAGAAATCATTTGCTTTATCTGACTTGTGTAGTCTCATATTCGGAAAGAACATGGACGTCTTTCTATTTAATACTTTATACTGTGTCTGCGTTTATGCAGTTACTGAACTTAAATTATTTAAATTCTTCATACATTATAGGTGCTTATTGTTAATAAGCAATGGCATTCACAATATAACAAATTGAAAGAAGATTACAATGCTAAATTGGAAAGTTACGAAACAGAAAATGCGGAATTGAAGGAGCAAATTACAGGGAAACAAGCTGAAAATGCAAAAAGAAAACGAGATATTGATTTACTTTTACGGGAAGCTAAAAAAGAAATTGAAGTTTTACAAGTGAGTCATTATTGGAAATTATCGTAAACACATTACACGGGTAACTAACTTATTCGAGCGACATCTGTACATTTCTAAATTCTAATAAAGAATAGCCTAAAACTCAAAATTAGATTCAAGTCAATTTTCATAGTTTTCCACCGAAAGCGGAAGAATTTTCTGCATTTTTTTGAAATAATAACATTTATTAATAATTTTTCAAATTATAATTTATTTAGTAAGGCTACTATAGTCTTCCATTTTAACTTGGAGTCAGGAATGTTGCAGCGAAAGATTTTATAAGCCACAAAGTTTCCATACCCTGTAGCTATTTTTAACGAAGATAATAAATATACTGAAATTTTTTCATTTAGCATGCTCAGCAAGAAAATTACAAGGAAAACTTTAAATTTGATATTTTAATTTGTTTTTCCTTCCTTTTTGGTCGTGAAAAAACGATTCGATTTTGTGATAAGAATTGTATAACGGCGGCAAACCATAATCCCAAATCGATTATATAGTGATAAACCATGCTTTACATATGTGCCATCCTCGAGAATTGCGCGGGCCAACCAATTTTGATGTGCCTTCCTTAGTGGCATTTAAAAGCAATTTTTTCACTTTTTTTGTGGTTATAATATACTTTTTATTTGTTTTTAATATTATTTCTTTCGTTCTCTTTTAGCGTCAAAATAGGGAACTCGCTAAAAATTACGCCCTCGAGCATGGAAAGACTCAAAGATTGAACGAAAAAATTCAAAAAATTAAGTCTGATTTAAGTGGCGTGCAAGCGGAGAATCAAAGACTGAATCAAGCCCTTAATGCTGCTTATAGGTGATTATTTTTGTGTTGTTTAGTATTTTTAAGCTAAAGTGATTTAAATTTATACAAATTATAGTGAAGGGAATTACCACGATGCAGAATAAGTATTCAATAAATGTTGTCCTATATACAAAAACAAAAACTTGTTCAGGGCTTTGTTCGGAGCAAAACAGTAAAACCACATAAAAAATTCATTGTTATGTAATCCTAATCAGAGGTTCCAATTTCACGCAACTACTATCATTTAAAAATATTGCTTATTGCAATTACATTCTCAGTTCTGTCATTTCGGTTTTTACCTCTTGTTTTTTTTCAATTCTTACATAAACGAAAAATATTTCAGTATCCGACAAAATCGACAATTATCCGGTTTGTCATTGTACGATGAAAACCATTCTTCAGATCCGACAACTACAGTATCTCAAACCGGAGAAAATACTCAAAGTAAGATAATTTGTCAGATTATTCAATACGATATACTATAGTATATAATGAATATATAGAGCCGTATGCTTGTTAAAAAATTTGATGTCTGATAAATTGTCTCATCAAATGACAAAATTGCGCTTTTTTAATGGGAGACAAATTTTAGTCTGTCTGAATTTTTTCTATTGATCAGTTATAGCTTTAAATTTACCGCAATCAAATTTTGAAAAATCATTCATCATTATATTCTTTCCGAGAACTTTTTGACTGCAGTTTGATGAATGATGGGAGTTTTTGGTATAATGTTCCGATATGATTAATTTTTTATGTTTCTTCTTCTGAATTTTATCCAAGCTTTGTTAGTAATTGCTGTTTACACTTACGTGTTTGTAAATTCAATATACCTGATTAGTAAAAATTGTGCCTTGAATATTGCTTATTGTTTTTATTCAGGTAAGCCTTTCGGTCATTTAGAAGTTCCGTGTAACTATGAAGAAAGTTCTGTTGGTGCTAGCGTTGCCCAGCAAATGACAATGGCAATTCCTACAACAGCCGAACTCGAAGATTTGAAAACACAAACTGAAGTTTTGCAGCAACAAGTAAGTTGTATTATAAAATTATTAATTTTCACTTCTCTCGTTTTTTATTAAAATCTCTCATTTTTTTCTCTCGCCTTTTTTCCAGGTGAAGATTTATCGAGAAGATTTTGAAACCGAGAGAAGAGATCGAGAGAAAAGTCAGGCAGAAAAAGATCGTCTCTCGGAAGAGATGGCCAGGATGAGAGATGAAATGAGAGCCCTCAACCAACAAGTACGCGCCTACGAGCAAGATTTTCGGCAGGAAAGGAGGGAGAAACAAAGGCTGCAACGCCAACTTAGTCAAGTAAGTCAAATTCTTGTTGTATCATTTCCGCGTTAGATAATGCCTCAATTAATCTAACTCGTTGATAGTGTTTATTGGCCGTTTAGCGCTAACCGTGTTAATATTTTGGGGGTGAATAATTTCATATTTCATTAATATTCTATTACAAAATTGTATCTAAAACAACTAAAATTTGTTATTGATTTCTATCATATAAATATAATTTTTCAGATACAAGTGCATGCTGCTGGTAGGACAAGTAATGGTCCTGGGAATTTCTATTACGATATGGATGTGCCTGATGTGTTACATGGCAATGATGCATTCCAAAGAGCGGGAAGAAGGCATTCGTCTCCTCAAAGAGATCGACACAGGTACAAATTATTTATAAAAACTTGACTTATTCTTAGAAACAATTTTATTCCTAATACTCCTTCATTTTGACAGGTATACGCAAGAAAGAAATGGCGATTTACTCATTCAAACTGCAACAACGAATCCTCCGCGAAGATACGCAGAACGTACAAGAAGTAATCCACCACCTCCATATACCCATGATACTGCTAGAGTTCACAGGAGATCGACGGTTGCCACAACGGTACGAATGTGCTACAGATTTCAATTAGTTGGTAATTCAGAGCTTTGCTAGAAATTATTCTATTAGAATAAATAAAAAGTTAGCAATCAACTTCGATCCAGAATAATGTAAATTTCAAATCCTTTGTATCCATACTTTTTTGGTGAAAAAATAATTTAAACTTATCTTTCTGTAGAATCGAAGAATACATGACGGGTTTTTGGAGCCAGTGCGACATTTTGACGCAGAAACTGACGTTGTATACCCGCCAGACAATATCATGAATCAATTTTAGGCGGACGATTCGATTCTCCGATTGACGATAAGAAATCGGAGATCGTGCGAGAAGATGAAGAATAAAAAACAACAACCGCAAGGTGGCGGCATGTTATTCTCGAGTGGGCGACTTGAATATATATGATCAGCGACGACGAAGTTATAAAAATAAACACAATAGACACGCACACGCGTACCAAGTGCAATGACAGAGTACGTTACGTACCAGACTGTCGTCATTATGTATGTATTTATAATATGACGTGACAATGTTTACACGAACTTAATCAGACGTCATAAACTTTCGCATTACCTCAGTTTATTATCGCGAGATAGGTAGCATAATATAAAGAATCGCAACTTTTTATTTCCATTTTTAATATTTTTTTGTCTCATTATTTTCTTCTTTTTATATTCTGTTGCAGCGCTAACTAGTATGGCCCTATTTTGAAGCGGTTAAAAGAAAAATTATTTCTTTCAAGTTGAAGCGATTTGCGAGCTAATTCATGGATTTTAAGTGCTATACCCGTCTGCATATTTCCGTTCGAGTCATTGAGATATTTCTTTCCACTTCAAAATCGCAATGACAATTTAATAACAGAAAATACATGGAAAGAACAACAGTGATTACAATTTACTATATGTTCGATGCAAAACGCACCGATAATAGATATTCACAGCAAATGCTCTACCAGTATCTGATTATAAAATGTTATGTACAACATATCGCCTTTCCTCACATACCTTGTTATTAACAGTAGTTTTACTAGCTTTTTTCAATGAATAAAACATACCTATTTACAATATAAGAATATCCAGTTTACCAACTTTCTTGGAAGATATATTTTCAAATGGTATTGACAACAACCAGTCTCTCATTAATATGTATTTGACCGTTTCAGCAAAAATACTCATGTGGTATATAGCTGGTCGCATAAAAAAAATTTCTCTTCACAAAATACGATAAATTGTAACTTCATTTCACCACGTTCGGGATTGCTTTAACTGTTTATCGTCTTTTTCTCGTTATTTACTTATACGATCATCGACTTCTTCTTGAACAGATTGAAATCGAAAGCTAAATTATTTCTATTTCTATAGGAAAGATCTTTCCGTCTTTACTATATTTACCGCTATATTGATGATGATTTAATAAATAACTTCAGCCTCGGCTGGAAACATACATCTGTGTCTCTATGCGATATTGAACCCAATGAGATGGGTATTTGGATGCACTGATAAACGAATGGGTGTCACCAATTATCACAGTGTGAACTATTTAGAGAGCATTCGATCAGTATCGCCATCAATAGAATAGTGTGTAGAAGTCTTTACGTAGTTACGTAGTGATGTGGAGGTAACTAATTTTGTTTGCCTACTTCACATCAAGTTATGTAAAGGGACTGAAACCTATGGGCAGGGTGTATTCACTTGGCTATCACAGACAGTTCCCGAACTCGTAATAGAACTAAAATAAGAAAAATCAGAATGGAATTAGGGCCTTTCCCAAACCTGGTACACAGACTACGGGAGAACCCGTTTTGGAGACAATATAGCATTCCACAGATCGCGGTTCCAGTTTGCCTGCAGCGTAATGCGTCTGCAAAAGGGCTGTCTCTTCACCAAACCGCATAGTCGAAATGGAATCCAAGTTCATGACAGCTACATGTTATGATTCCATTGCAATACGGTATCAAACTTCCAAACAATTTCGATTATGTTATTCTTCGCGTCAACCTTCGTTATGTAGGTTGCGAGTTCATAGACGTAGAGTGTTTACCACGTCGACATTTTTTAATATCAATAAGCAATATTCAAATTAGCTTGCGTATTATGATTGATATATTTGACGTGTTGCGTGCTTGTATATGTCACGCACTCGCAAGAATTGGAAAACGTGCATTATTGTGTTATGTCTCAAATTATTCTTACTGTAGAGCGAGTGGGCTACTTCATTGTGCGATATGTCAGTTCATATTTGCGTCTTCATATTTGCGTCATACTTGCCTTCTTCTTGATTACGAAATAGAGTTTACATTTGCGCCTTCTTATGAAGTGTTGTGCCACACTTGGCAATATTTTTTAACACGATTGTAATTGCAAATTTTGCTGAACAATGAACGGATGAACAAAGCGAGACTCGAAATTGTAGCACTGTAGCCATATTTCTGAATTTCTAATAATTGTATAAGTGTAAAATCGCGAGCAAACATGGGGGAATTTCAGTTGTATCACAATAGCCTGCTGTTAGGTTTCACTCGATTATGAAGTTGTGAATCTTCCTGCAAACATGACCAAATACAGTAGTCACAAAATAAAGAAGAAGCGCCCAAATTTTTAGATAATTTTTGGCATTACATTGTTTTCATCTGTATTCAAGTCAGCGTTAATTCGAAAGTTTCCAGTGCACGTTATTCCGATTCCTTTGACATGTATCCCACGCCCATATACGCAGAATACTATTCTGGTAGTTTCTATAACGACAATGCATAACACATTACTACAAACGAATGATTCGACGTCCTCTGCAAAGCGATTCAGTTTCGCAGCGCAACTATTCCGCTTGCGTAATGGTGATTTACGTATGGTGTACAGAGTGACGCACGCCATGGAATATCTGACCCCGGGCTATATGGTGCATTCATTCATTGGCAATTACGCCGCATCCACCATATTATTTCCGTGATTAATGACATTGTGTTAAACGTATAAAAATGTCACATAAGGGGTGTTTTTTCCGTATTTCTATGTAATTTAGGCTGCAATGCGAAAATAAATATACGTAAAGTAATTCAATTTTATTATATTGGGTTTGGACACATGCGTCTTGCTAAACCGACCTTTTTGAGCAAAAATTCAACAATTTATCGCTTTATTCATATTGCCATACTTGGGTCAATAAAAAGGGTGCCTTCACGTTGTTTTCAGTCTAAAAATAGCTCTTTGGATGTAATTAAACCATATGTCAGTCCAGGTAAACATACATTACTACTCAAAGCATGGATATTTACTAAACGATATTATGTAATTGCCGTCATAAATTATTCCCCGTGGATACGATTTAAAAAACTTTCATCATCGGGCTGTTGATTTCGTCCCAAAGGAATAGCAGTTGTCATCACAAAAACTGCACACACCCAAGTTGAAATATCGCTGACAATCACCTTACAAGTGAGATGGTACTATTGACGACGTCATTTTAAGGCGTTATTGATTTAGATTGCTATCGACATTTTTATATATTCATCGGTTTCATGTGCGGAAGCGCTGCCTACATCGCTACAACGGTACTTTTTGTCAAGTAACGCTAATAGATTTACGAAATTGAGACCTATGATATAAAAATGCCCCACGGATTGATATCTTTAAATCTTGATGACCAAAGTGGCGATATCTTTCGTGGAAGTTTCCGAATTTAGTGCAATTTACGCTGATTTCGATCGTCTTGAATTGCGGAATTTTCGTTTGCCTGAGGCGCGTAGTCCACAATCACCTTGTGCGTCTATCTTTAAACCGCGGTCGATTGAAAAGAACCGAATCTAATTATGTCTCGATAACCACCGACCGCAAGGAAATGAACAATTTTGTTGGCGCGATGTAACAAAAATGTTAACCTCTTGAGGCGTTCAACGCTGAGTCAGTTTTAATTTGGACGCTGAAAATTTTCTTACATAATACTTGCGACGTTACCGTGATGAGTACGGCGATAAAATAATAAAATCAGAATTTAAACTTCAAATTAGCCCATCGGAGCGAGAAAATAATATTTTTAGAGCCGCTTCATGAAATTAAAATTGTTATTTCACTCACAAACACGCTGAATTTGTGGAACGCAGAACTATTTTTTACTGAAATATTTAAAAAACGATGAATAGATATTTTCGACAAGGATATTCGACAGCAATATAGACAGCCGGTTTGAGTTATAGCGTATCTATTTACATTCCAGTTGAGTATATTTCGACTTTGGCCGGTAATTCTGAGTAATTCTTGCCATATGATTTCACCATAAACGCTAATTTTTTATAAATACAGTTGAACGCAACCGTTAGTTTTAATTTTAGCTGGCATGTCCAAAACAATGACATGATTAGGAACGTCATGCGGGAAAATCGATGTCGTCAATACATTGATAACGGCAGAACTTCACGCATTTACAACCTAAATTGTAATGAAATTGCATATAGATCCCTTATGTAACGTTCTGTCTCTCAAAGTCACGCCATACATGACTTCTGAACGGGGACTATTTCTTTCAATACTGGCACGCTACTGCATGGTGACATTCTAATACAGGAAAAACATGGATACAGAAATGGCATCGCAATATATTAATTTATTCTTTTTATATGTCAAATATAAAATATGTCGGAAATTTATCCAAATGACAACATAGAACTGGCTATTGGTGGAAAGTTACAAATTCTAAAATAAAGAAAAAAAATGACTCGAAAATGACATTTCCGTGCATAGATATCATGACGTCACTAAAACACGTGGAAAATTTCCCCAATTAAAACTTAAAAGTCAAAATAATGTATTACAATAACTATATCCCCAGCCAGATATGGCACTTGATAAAATTGTAATAGTATAAGTACAATCTTGTTCCGACCATGCTTGTCCGGGGATATAAAACACAAACGGAGCCGGAGCAAATAAGAAAATGGTCAAACACGTTCAAAAATTTTCACACTAGAAAAACGTTCATTTATACATAGAACGATTACAAAAACGTAAATTGAGCAGCACCGAATAATATGATTGCCTCAAAATTCCATCAATTTAATTTAACAAAACTGGAATAGTAATAAATAAAAAAGAATCGCATAAAACGTGTCATATTACAAGTACAGGGGAAAATAACCTAAATCAATATTCCAATTAGCAAAAACGAACAAAATATGTTGATTTTTCGACATTTGTAGTGATTTTTCTCTCTGGTCATACCCATGGTTACCTGTTTATTATTGATTGCCCGTTTATCTGCTCATAAACAAACGAATATAGCAACTTGACTGAGAAAATAGCAAAATCAAAGCTCTCGCCTCATAGGTGTGATCAATGCTTAATCACGAGAGACCGAAATTCGAGGAGGAATAGCAGAACTAGCAATGTCTTTTTTAGGAAAATACAATTGCACAAATTTGCAACAGGCATAAATAAGCAAGCAAAAAATTAGTTCTAAAATATCCAGCATGCAAATTAATCAAACAAAATATCAAATTTGTTTTGTCCTACATATACAATAGCTCTTTTTATATATACTTCCTCAAAATAAATTGTCATAATTTTGCTACATTGGGGAATTAATTGTTATCACACACTCATAATAATAACACTAGTTATTTGAAGTCTTAGTTACAGTGATACTAAAAATAAAATATTTGTCTACACAGGAGATATCGAGGTTTAAAAGTAAATATATGTTAAAACATTCACATGGGAACACAGAAAAAATCTGGGTAGGAACAAATATAGTTTTTTTTTCGATAGCGACTGTGACCAGATTTTCACCGTGTATCTAGCAAGATTTCTTCAATGATTCAAATAATCGAAATCTTCACAAGTTAAAAATTGTTCTTTAATTGCGTGTTGTTTTTGTTTTGTTAGTGCTCCTTTCAACTTTGCGACTTCTTTTTGTAACCGTTTTGCTTCCATTACTGACCGCACTCGATCACGTCTTTCTAAAGTGAAATCGTCCTTATATATTTTTACCTGGAAAAAAACAAAAATCAATTAATAAAATTACAGAAAATAATAAATGAACGCAGCAATAACTGCGGATTGGAAACTCAAATTTTGTGAAATACTGTATATTAGTTTGTATTTTAAAACTTTTTTTTTAATTTCAATAAAATATTATAATGAAATATTTGCCAACCTGTTGGGTTAGTAGGGAGACTTTCGATCGCAAACTTTCCAAGATGTGAGAATCGCTGTGTGCTCTCGGATGAATACAAGATAATTCTAAATCTCCTTCCGATTTACGAGACATTACAGATTCCTGGTGACTTCGTCTGTTTTCAACAACTTCATTTAAACTCTCGCTTTCAGAAATATCTTTTGGTAAAGTGTGACCTCGGATGTCGTCGGCACTGGCGCTTCGAAAAGCCCGTACGTGTTGTGATTTCAATTCAGCAGCATATTGTGCCCACATCTGATTTGCTTCTCTCAACTGGAAAAAAATTATAAATCATTTTTAAAAATATGAATTATTAGAACAATGAAATTACAATTTTTAAGTTCTTTTAAATTGTATCATTTTGAGTAGGATTTAATTATTTCCGCAACAAAAATCTTTCTTAAATTATGTACAATTTTAGCTTTTCCCGATTGATATATATTTTTTTTAATTTTACAATGAATATTAATTACTGCTAATTGTATATGACTTCATAACCATAACCTACCTCTGATCGTTCTTTTTCTAATTTATCGACTCTGTTTTCTAAACGGGCGATTGTTTCTCTTGCTAGTCGTAATTCTTCAAAAACATCCATGTTCGTTTCGTTTGATGACGGAACAACTCTAGCGTTACAAGCATCAGAAGATGTGAACGATGAGGGGTAACTTTTCGAAGAATGTTGTGAGGTATCCTGTCAAATGAGAAAAAAATATATAAATCTTCGAGTTTTCGATTAATAATTAGCTACAATTGGTAGAACGGAAAATATTAACTTCGCTATGCTAACGACAGCTGTGTACGTTTTATTTTGTATTCTAACTTCCCCTAAATTTATTTGTAATCTTAACTTATTTCCGTGTGACTCTGAATAGCACGCAACGTAAATAAAGTGCCAAAACCCGCAAGTTCCAGGTTCATATTGCATTTTAAACATCTATTTCTATTTATATACGTGTGGCTTTAACTTACCGTTGTTTCTGAGGCATCTCTGCGAGGAATTTCCGAGCATGACAGTTTCCTTTTATCTGACGCGGGAAGTCGTATTTTTTGTGACTGGGCTTTCCGACATCGAGAGGTAGTTTGTGCGTTGTGTTGACGTCTTGACGCCGCTATTGCTCTTTGTAATTCCAGTTGTGATTCTGCAAGATTGATACTTGTTATCGATGCCTCGTAACTTTCAACTGGAATTTTTTCCGACACTTTTTTGTTCTGCAATAAAAACATGAATATTTATAAAAATACATAGAAATGAAACAAAAATAACCACTAATTTACCGCATTTAAAATAGAAAAGTACATACCTGATTGTGGTCAAGTTCATTGATAGCTAGACATCTTTCTTCAAGACTTTCTTGTTTTTCGGTTGTATATTCCATAGTAGTATCGTCTGAGTGTAAATCCGAATATACGTCTAATAATGTCATGTGCGCTTTAGGTATGCTAGATCAGTTTAACGCTACTCAAGAGACTTGTTTTGTGAGACTATTTCCAAAATCATGCGCTTATATGTCAACGGACTGACGCGGGATTTTTCTTTATTATTCATATCACGCACGCAGAAATTCCCGGTATGCCTTTTTTCTTATTGTTTCTCTCGTTTTTAAATATCGACAGGACGACGCGTTTCTCTTCACGGCATTTACGCAAACGCTTGGGTAACCTTTGGTCGAGCAATATTTGCGTGATCTTAATTCAAATGGGTAATTCATCAAATTTTTTGTATTTTTTTTGCGTAATTTGCCATTGCAACATGAATTTACCGTGATTGAGACATTTATTGTTTATCATTCGGGTAAATATTTTAAACAAAATTCAAGTAACTTAATATTTTCTGACGATATGCAATAATATGGTCGTACGTGAAATACAGTAAATTGGTTACTCCCGAAGTATGTGAACCAAGATGGCGGGCACCGGAACGTGGTATGTGTACCAGGTTAGGGTTAGGCCATAATTTACGGTATAAATACTACGGGAGGCAGATAGCTAGCCCCCGAACTCGTAATAGAACTAAAATAAGGAAAATTAGAATGAAATTATGGCCTAATCTTAACCTGGTACACATACTACGTTCCGGCGTTTGCCATCTTGGTTCACATACTTTGGGAGTATCGTAAATTGTACTACATAAATAAATAAATGCCACTAGTAAGAACCATTCGTGCTTTCGTATGTACTAAGATTATCTTTTCACTGGTATATTATACCCATTTAATAAACTGTATAGGCCAAAAAACGCTTTGGTCAGATTAAGAATTTATGTTATGAAAACCGCCATTAGTTTATTTTTAGCGCAATTTTTAATGATTTCAATAAAATTATACTTTATAGAAACTAAAAAAAAATGGAAAAGTTATAATTCATCAATATAATCTTATTCGAGGAATCATTTATATATAAAAACTTAAAATATAATTGAAAACAAAATATTGCAAAAATTATACATTCAAGTTGGTGCATCAATTAAAGTCTAATAAATATCAGAATAGTAGAATGGAGGTGATATAGCATAATGTATAAAACTTTAGCTATTTTCAAATATTTACTGATTTTGTACATTTGCAGCATCATTTTGAGTAGAAAGCTTGGGTTCAGGCGTCACAGATCCGATCTTATTCTGTCCAAACCATGTTTACAACTTTATTCTGTGTTAGTCGACTCGCGGTGTCGTAGCGCTTATTTTGATCATTCCAGCAATACTACATGAATGATGATGAAATAAATTTATCTTGGATAAATTACATAACGTTCGTAAGAAGTTTTTGATTAATTAATCAATGTGTTATAGATTAATGATTTGATCATTGAAAATGATATCTATGATAAAAATAATCGATGCATTGAATGTGGTACGTTCTTAAACATATAAGGATATTTTATTCAATTTCTATATTTATTTCAAATAGGAAAAGTTCGTGAAATGCATTTCATGTTCACGACACGACTCAATACAAATTACTGAAACATATTCTAATGAAAGCCTGTAAAGCCTTTCAAGTTTAAAAAAGAACTTCATTTACAAATTTTGGCAGCTAAATATAAAAGTTTTTTGTCTGTTTGTAATAGCTCAGGGCCTGCTTTGCAGGTTACCCCTGTTATGTAAATCCTTTTGTCCCCTGTTATGTATTACCTTCATCGAAAGCACAAACGCCGTGATCGAAACTAATTGTGATCAAAAGTGAGAATAAAATTTCAAAAAATTTCTGATGCCCCTGTTCCTAGGAAAGTTATGTAACGGCTGTATTGGTTTTTTTCTGTACGGCGATACAATTGCTACTAATTTACCCGCGTGTTTCCCCGTAAGTGAAACCATCCTCATAAAGCGAATGAAATCAATATTGGTATATCAAAGTATTGTAGAGTACACAAACAAATTCAATGTAGCCTACTCAATAGGTAGCGTTTTGTATTGACATATTTTCATAGAATGTATTGAGGAGTATGTGATATCAAGCCGATAGTTTCATACCGAAAGACGTAACAGTTAACAATAATTTGTCAGAATATGCTAATAAAAATTTATGAACGTGAAAGGGGTATGAACAAACAAGAATACCTTTGTACGTAAATGTTTTTCCCAATTTCGAATTCGACTTACTAGTATTGTGTTGTGTAAATACTTATCGCCATTATTGAACAAATGAAATACAAAGAAAATAATCTATTTCAAATTTTGTTTTATCAGTTGAGCGCCGTTAAATCAGGAATCGAAACTTGGAAATATTAGTCAGCAATTCCCATTTTCGCCGATTCTTAGGAACGAAACTATGGGAACTTCTGTTCTGACCATAATTGTTTTGTCTCATTCTGTCTGTGGGGATTTATACAATTTTACCCTTATATTTCCCCAAACCATTTCGATACTTTCACACAAAAAACGCAGTTAATTAAGCCGCAAATATTATTCAACTACAATGTGCAAAAATCTTTCAAAATGTTCTCAATTCATAGTTCGTAAAATTTTCCGATTTAATTTTATCGTGGTGAAGCAGAGACAAAAAGTTTTATCTACGAATATTGGTTACCTCGTTGCACAAACACACTTTTAAATTTAGAAGTAAGGAGGAAGAAAAAAATAATTAAAAACAAAACATACTGCTTCATTATGTTCCTGGTTTTGATTGTTTAAAAAGGGATTGATTTTGAAACAAATAATTTTTTTAAACTATTTGACTGATTTCATTTGAATATTTTACATAAACTACGGAACAGTTTTGATTGTAAAATTACCCAAATATTCAACGCTGCTGTTGTTTTGAAGTTTCCTGATTTACATAGGCAAACAAAATTAAATTTACCCAAGATTAGACCGACTCAATCAGTGTTTGTTCTTCACAAAGCAAGATTCATAACTTAAAGGTAGTGCTTTAGAAATATGCAAATATTTGTAACTGATATCCGAGGAAGTCGTTCGTCCGACTTCAGTTTGAAATGAGGCTGGTATTTAACGAACAAAATAATTCATTATCATGATTTATCATTTTTATAAGAACGATACACATCGCCTAATATTATCAATGCTAGGTAATTGACTGAGCCCACTATCATACTGACCCACTGACCGCCTTAGAGTAACTCCTCAATAACTGTGAGATGTAACATAAAACGCGTAGTAATGTATTAACAATTTATCAAGAGTTTATCAAAACAACTTGGTGCTAAATTGACAGAACCTCCTCTATGGCTCAGGAAGCCAATTGAGGGATATGGATGAATAAATGTTATTCAATGCATCGCAAATATTGTTGTTGTTGTGTTGATAATGTTGATTAGTTTTTCACTTCAAGAAAAAACACCCAATAAAGTATGTCACGCCCTTTTTTCAAAAATTACTCTAATTCAAGTAGTCAGTAAGATTAGAAAAAAAGATGCGCTTTCTTGCTTTGCCACCTACATACATCAGCAGAGCATTTAAAAGGCATTTACTAAGCTCTCTGATTTTTGAATGAATATTCATGTCATGTCGCTTTCATATTCTGAAATCTTTCACAAAATGAGTAACATTTCTTGTGCTATATAAGATATGTATGAGATTCTAATAAAACATTATTATTTGGAGTGTATTGTACCTAATTTTTTCCAAATACAAATTTAGAAAAAATTAAACGATTCCCATCTATTGCTATTTTCTATAACATTGCATATATCGAAATTTCCCCATGAATGTATAAATTCACTGATTGCGAAATCATTCCTTCTATAATTTTGTAAAAGGAATCAATGAACCGCGAGCGTTTTTCGTTTATGAATGAAATTCCTACGATATGAAACCGTGTATCATATTCCCTGTGGGCAATGTGATAGATCCTATTTCAGTTTCGTATTTGGGGACATTTCGAAAATGAGATCTATTTATCGGTTTATATAGTCTTCTTCTGCCTAATTATTTTAATCGAATGATATGTATTCCTTATTATTGAAATTTAACATAAAAGTTTTCTCATAAACAAATAAAAAACATATTTACCGGTATCAAACCCGACGTCGACAAACATATGATGTTTGACCATGTCGATATAATGCCGGGGATAATGTGTGATGGAACGTTTTCTAACTGTTAAATATAACCAATAGGAGAAGACATTTTTTCAAGTTCTGAAAACTCTGTTGGTTTAATATATAGTTCAAAACGCTGGGTGAACTGAATTTTCTCGGAAGATAGTTTTACTTGATAACCTATAAACACACTTCTGTTAAATGACAAATAAAGTATGACAATTTTAAAAATTCCCTTTCTCGATGCTGTTTGTTTGTCATCCTGCGCAAGTCGCATAGTTGTTATTCGGTATGAGTCGACGTTAAGTAAATACAGTATGTGGGATTTTACGATATATATCTTCAAACCTGGCCGCAAATAAAGTCAATTAAGTAGTCACAAATAGCCTATTCACCACGGCCTGCATGGGTGCTTTTTCGTATCGACTAATCATTTCCAATATATTTATTCGTATGATGGTGATTCATGCATGAAACTCTTTGTACCAGGCCCGCGTGGCACCAAAAATTCCAGAATGTGGGCGCGTTGTCTTGGTGCACGTCTTCGTCTGAATATACTATAATTTAGACAATAATTATTTGGCAATTAGAAGGTGGTTTCCCTGGAACAATATTTGGTTACTTAGATTAGACGATTCTTTCTCAAAAGCCTGTTCATTCACAAAAACGTAAAACAAAATGCCCCCTACTCACAATTCAACTGATTGACCAAAGTCCTAAAACAAAACGATTTGAGGTCATGAAGAGTGAAATGACCGTGAGTTTAGTCATTCAATCCCACGCAAGACGCCGCCACTCGGAAGATATGAGTCACGCATCTGACGCACCGGACGAATCTACTCTGACGCTCAGGAAATCAGCAGGACGTAGACAATGCAACGGAAGCATTTCATTCGAAGTTTATTTTATTTCTTAATCCGGCAACTGCAAACGCAAAAATGCCATAATTAGTCTCGAATCCCCAACACTGGAAAGCAGAATCCCTTTTC